GACCTGCTGCTGCTACATTTACTGGTCGCATTTGCACTTTCACTCTGCTCGGCTGGCCAACCCCAAATCGTTGATGCAGTGCAGCAGGCTAACCACCCCCACAGTTACCAACGCCGCTCTCTAATATCATTTTGCAATTTGCAGTCGACAAATAGTAGAAGGAGTGCGATGCTGCGGCAAATAAAAACGTTTCTCTTCTTTGTTCTAGCCCCAGGGCCAACAATGTGCCCAGCGCCAACTTCAACGTATTTCTGCAACCGTTTACATCTCAATGGCCCGGACCAGCCAAGGGCAAGCCCCTGGCCCCGAGGCTGGTAGCCCACACATTGTTAAATAAATTATCGCCTACATCGAAGCCATCGATAAATCCTCTACGCTTTCAGTTTTATACCCTATTGACAAAGCTAATCAAGAGGCTTGACATATCTACAGATATATTAGGTTGAATATCTTGCTTAAAACGTATTCTAAATGAATACAAATAACGAAAGATTTAGATACAGTTTTGATGTAAATTGGGAATGGTATGAAAAATATTGTTTCAGCATGAAGTCCAAACATTTACTAGTACGTAACGTGACCAAAAATGGTTTCCATTTTGATCTATACAGACTTGAAAAGTCTTAGAATGGTTTTCTAGGTTTTCTAGAACCTAGTCATATTTTAATCTCTTTATATAATAAATAGTCAAAACACAGTCGAAAATGTTTATCATATTTCAATAACGTATATTTCCCATTTTCTATAGTCACAAAATGACGGGGTATCTGTCTGGCTGACTACTCTCTACTAGTACCCTTATTGCACCAAACATGCTGTTCTGGCTGGGGCTTAAAGCACTCTCAACCCTGGGATGCCCACGCGTTGTTCTTGTGGCCTGATTGACATGCTCCACAGACCCCTTCCAATTTGGATTCAACTAGCACTTCCATTTGGAACCTGCGCTGTGACAAACAGCTGATTGCGTGTTCATCTGCCGTCTGGCATGATTTATGTTCACAATTGAATTTCTTGACTTCTTGTTGGACACGTGTGGACCCGGTGTGGGTTGCCAAGGAGCTGCAGCAGAAATTCAAGTAAATTAGCTCATTTGCCGCTACACTTGGCTCACGTGCACGCGTTACCGAAGAGGTCATTGACATGGGCCAAAGGGCAGCAGCTGTTTGCATTTTGCACTACATTCTTTTCCTTCAGTTTTTTGCTCAAAGTTTTTCCCCAAGTTTTTCTCTCTTATCAATAGTTGGCCAGTTGGCAACTGAGTGCCAACTGGGAGCTCGTGTCACGTACGCGGCAGCTGATTGCCTCAAATTGTTTTCGGCCATTTTTTTTGCACATTTGGCCAGGCTTTAACCCCCGAAAATGCCGTTAGGGTTGCCATTTAACAGCAAATTAATATGAGTGTCAGTCTGGCAATCACCCAGCCAGGCAGTCAGGCAGTCAACCAGTCAGTCTGTCATTCTGCCAGTCATGCAGAGTTATTGAGCAAACGGCAGAGAGAAAAAATGCAGCTTTAAGTTTTTCCTTCTTCTTTTTCACATGTGCTTTAGCCGGACTCTGGAGTTGCCTGGGAGTTTATCTCCATGTTGACAGTCGCCCAAAGGGAATTAGTTATCAAAAGACGCATAAATCCATTGCAGCAAAACGCTTAGCTGAACTTTCTGCTGAAACTCAACTCAATTCAGCTCAGCTCTGTGTCTCTCGTTTTATACTTTTGGTTAAATAAAATATGAGCCGAATTGCGTGTTGAGCAAATGGAAAGCACTTTCAACTTTAAGATTTCCTTAAAATTGCTTAAATGCTTTATTACTTTTTTAATAGAAGAATGACTGAAGACATTGAAGATCTTGAAATTTAAGCTTGGCATAGAGTCAGACAGACAATAGACAGTCAGATTAATCGACGTGAACTGAAACTGAGATGGACTCAAATTATGATTTACTTGGGTTTATTCTTGCGTAGAAGCCTATACTCTATACAATGTGGTTCAATTACATTGACAAACAAGTAGTCGCACGTCACGGTCGACCTCTCAAAAATAATATTATTAAGTAGCCCAAAATGTTCATTCCACAATCTGCCTTCTAGTGTCCAGTCGATGACTCCTGTTGTCTGTCATTATTCTCGCTTATGACGATGATGAATTTGTTATTAAAATGACCAAACCAAGCCAAATAAACTGACCGAGAGACAACTTGTCTCAACAAAATGCATTAAAATGATTTATGAACATGAGAGGGCAACAAACAGGTACAAGTAAAAGCATCCCTTAGACAAATTAACAAGGATATATGATGCTGCGGCTGCTGCTGGCAAGCCAAATTTATCGGTTAAGTAGCCAAACGCCCCCCAAGAAACAAAGGCTGTCAAAACCACAAAGAGACACTCGACCCGAGCGGACGCCTGAGGTGTTTTCTGTCAAGTTTAAACAAAAATTAAACCACCCCCAGCCCCATCGTACACACACACACACACACAGCCTCCCCTCAAGCCAGTACAAACTTTGAGCTAATCAAAAATGTTACAAAGCAGAGCTACAAAAAAAAATCTGTGAAAATATGGTTCACTTAATCGAAACTTAGATACACTAACACAAATATTGATAAAAGTAAATATTTATTTTTGGGGCTTTTTAAAAGATTTCTGGACTCTAAAATTAGAACTTGGAAAAAAAATTCAAACATGAGAATTAGTATTTGAATTGAGTTTTATAGAGTATATATTTTGTTGGTGTTTAAGCTGTTTGTTTTTTTCTTTTTTAATGTTATATTACATTATAAACACTTTCTGTCTTCCCATCCAGATGGCATTGCAAAGTTGTGATTACCTCTTCGGGAACTCTCCATAAAAAGAGGAAAAGCCAACTTGTCTAGGTGGAGAGCGCAAAAGTTTCTCAAGGAGTTTTTGCCACCACCGAAAAAATGGGAAATGTTAAGGGCACGGTCACAGCCGGTGCGTGTGGCATATCCTTGTAAGTAGTAGCTGCCGTTGTTGTCGCGGCAACATTGTTTCTATGATTAGCATTTTATCAGCAGATCTTTTGCTCATCATTTTATGTTGCGAGAACAGCGTGAACCAGAATATTTATGTTAATCTTTTGGGCTTAGCCCCCCCCCCCCCCCCCCCCCCCCCCCATCCCCATCCCCCACTCTCATAACGGGTACGCGGAAGTCATGTGAGGCTGTAATCAAACAAACAAAAAAAATAAAACAAAAAAAGGACCTGCGGTTGGGGTGCTTTTTATGTGGCAGGCCCATTAATATATTGCCACAACGGATGAGAGACACCTCACAACAAAAGGCGACATTATTATTTCATTATTATGCCAAACGCATCCAGTGTATCCACACCATGCGTCAGGCGAAATCCCCCACGAACGCACACACACACACACACACATATGCACGTGCTACAGACGCGTCTCATATTACGCATAGGGGGCGGCGGCGGGTAGGCGAAATGATTCATGCGCTGGCAAATTTTTTGACACCCCGCGCCGCGGCCACGCCACTGATCATAAACAAGGAAGAGTCCTTTAGTCAAGAGTGTCCAACTAGGAGATGCCCTGTATGCATACACATATACATATACACAATAGCACATGTTTTCCCTAAGCCCCTTTCTGATCCCCTTAGAGCAGACATGAATATATCCAGACTCAGTTTGTAATCCTGATCAAGAAATGCCTCTCACTGTCTGTTTCAAAAATATACGCTGTCTCTGCAGGGTATTAGAAATGCGCGCTCAAACATATGTTATGCTGGGAAAGCTGTGGGCTCCCTTGTAATACATATTTACTCGTAAATATTTTTATAGTCTGTAGGCCGTTGTGCATGCGGGATTAGTTCATGCCACACAGCGAATTCAATTTACTTTTAAGATGCTGCACAGGTGCGGTGGGGTTAGGAGCTTACACACTCACCTGTCGTAAGGGCTGCAGCTAATCCTGTTGTGTGTAAACCATTTAGCGGCAATTAAAACATAATTGCGGCAAGCGTTGATAGCAATCAAACGGTAAATCATTTGGGCGCAAATTGCAGTAAGCACACACACACACACACACACTCACATAACACAAACAATACACAGACAGCCAAATTGCGCGCGCGAATTCGAGACAATGCGACGAGCGACAAGCGCGCACGCACACACACTCGCAGCATACAGGGGACAACCCACTCACAGGGTGATGCTGGCGTGCTTTAAATTTTTTAAGCGCACTTTAAATTATTGCACTTGAGTGGGGCGAAAGAGTGAGATGGCGAGACAAACAGCTTTGGCACTTGCGGCACGTTTTAATTTTGTTTGCTGCTGCTGCGGCTGCGGCTGCCGGCACACGTAAATGCTAACGGTACATTTTGCAAAACATATTCAATGCGCGCGTCACCCAGCGAAGACACAACTGAACCCCGGCGCGTACACAAACCGACTATTTAACATTCCCTTTGCTCGTATTAGGCTTGCATACTTTCTGGGAGCGCAATGTTAGCGTGCTCAGAGCGCAACACTGTTAAATAACAGTTGGAAGCTAACAGTTTCACATGTTCTGAATTTAGGCCACGTTTTTTTTTCAAACTAATTTTCTATTTAGAAAAGCAACTTTAGCTTTTATAAGTAAAAAGATAGCTCCAGGTAGCATAAAAGACAGAGCACAGAGCGAGACAGCACGCTATACCTCTGGCACTTTCAGCTAACGGGGCATTTTGCGAAAAAAATGCCAGCAGACATTATACGCTGTTGCATTTACTTAACCGAACTCCCGTTTTGGTTAAAACGTTATTTCATGCACTTTTTAACTCGCGATATAACACATTATTTAATATAAATGAAAAAATTCTTCTCACGCCGCATAGTTTTGGCGCCTATGCTTACTCGCGATCACAAAATAATTGCTGCGCACAAAAAAGTATCGGTATCGTTTTTGTACCAGATTCGTTCAGCTTCCTGTTTAATACCATCAATCTGGTATTTTTTGTAGAATTTTATTGCCTGCTGCCTACGTTCACACTGTTAGTAGCACACTTTTATTTGTGGCGCAAGCGTCATATTTTGTTAATAAATTCCAGCGGATAAGCAACAATAAAGCAATTAAATAAGTTACAAATATGCCAGCTGTGGTGCGCATTAAGCGCCGCATTGATGAAGAGCCGCACACGGCATTTGTATTGAATGGCAAACGCCGACGCTTGCTAAACGATGAAAATGCGCCCGCGGCAGCGACGCCAAGCGTTGAAAACAAAGAGGAGCTGAACCAGGTGCTGCTAAAATTTGCCGGCACGCTAGAAAAACAGGTGAGTCAGGCGGCAAATATTCAATTAAGGCGCTTAAGTGAACACACCTAAGGATTTCAATTTGTCCGGGTGTGCCGAAGATTAAATACCCTTAAAGGCAACAAGCGAACTGTTTGTTAAACGAGCATTCATACTGCCGAAACTAATGCTTAAAACTCTTTTAGGATGACAGCGCCACGAAGCAGTTTGCGGCAGCGCGTCTAAACAAGGCAACGGCCAAGGAGCTGGTGCGTCAAACAATAGATCCGGCTATTGCGAGCGCCCAGCGGCGAGATAAACGCCGCGAGGAGGCACAACAAATATCGCGCGAGCAACGATATCGAGTTGTCAACTGTTTGCGCACCACGCTCCACGATGAGGTGGAACAGGATGAGGAGGCAGCAAGCGGCAGCAGAGGCCAAGAGCAAAACACGGCTGAGCGCAGGCAAATAACGATTGTCGACATTGAGTCGCAGCATACACAGCGTGAAGAGGAGGAGCAGGAGCTGTCGCCGGAGACGGCACAAAGGCAGCAACGGCCCGCCGATTCGGACATTGGCTATGTCTACGATTTGTATGTGCCGGAGAATGAGCTGCAGGCGCAATATGTTGATATGTTGGATGACAACTATTTAAGGTTCGTCCTAAACATTGAAGAACAACCATTGTTGCACATTACAAATTTCTATGTGTAAAAACATCACATTCTTTGGGGCTAGTCGATTTGTAATTAAATTATGTGTGTGTGCTTAAGTACATGTTGCTCATTTGTTTGGTCCCCTTATAAAACATCATCTAGATTTAATTTCTATAAGCATAAAGAAACTTGACTATAAATAATTTGTTATTGTAATTCGTCTGATTCTCTATATAAGGTTGTATTATCCGTTTAATTACTACAACAACTGCTACTGGTAACACTGCAGCAACAACAACAACAACAACTACTACAGCAACAAGCACGACGATGTGATAAGACGCTGCCACGCCCACCCCCCCACATACACACTACCCACCCGCACGCATCACAGTTCAAGCACGGGTCGCAGTCAGCTCCTCAAAAAGAAACAAAGCAAAAAACCAAATCAACTTAATTAGCAATTAGTTTTATATTTTCGCTTTTTGCACCTTGCCACACACACACACACACACATATATATATATTAGTTTTATATACTTTGATTCGAATTGTTTTTTACCCCTTCTTTTGCCTGTCCCATTTGTTGCCAGTTGCCAGTTTTTTAAGTTTCTTTCTTCGATTTAAGTCATTCCACAAATCATGTGCTAAAGTCTAATTAAGTGCTTAGTTTTAGTTTAGCGCCCAATTCAAATAAATATTGATGTATATAACTAGTAGATGTTACCCGGCTTTGCACGGGCCTAGTGTTTTTCTTCCAAATTCCGTAGGGATTCGGGAAGGGGAATTCATTTCGAATTTCTATATAGCTTTTCAGAAATGAGTCTGAGGTCGATCGAATGAGCAAAAAGGGATGAAAATATGGGCACATAAGTCGTTTCCACGCATTTTCCAAATTTTGGTGTTGCATTTTTCAAGGCCTAAGCTTAGTTTTAAATATTTCGCTTAATGAGTCAATCCTTCAGTTGGCGCAAATAATTAAATGTTCAATTAAAATATTAATCAATCACAAAATCTGTTCACTTTCATAGTCTTCGGCCCGTGGATGAGCTCTTCTTTGAGGACTGCTACAATGATGATGAGGACTATGACTCGGAGGACTCAAATCAGGAGAACTATTATACAAACGAATATCCTGATGATGACGATGCTGGCGCCGTGGGCTCCGACGAGGAGCTCTGCCAGCAGATGAATAAATTCATGTTTGGTAGGTCCCCGTTAAAAATTCGTCTTACTATGATTTTATTGCCACCTGTTCGCAGATGATGATGAGGATGAGTTTGCCAGCGGCGGCTCCAGCGATGCGGAAGATTACAATACATATCAGGATCCGTATGTGCACACCATAGACACAGAGGCAGATGGTTTTGCGGATGATGTTGATTTCTATAATGTGGATCGTCAGGGCAGCGCCTACGAACGTTACAAACGTCGCATACTGCGCGAAGCGGAGGGCCTCGACTCCAGCTCCGAAGATTCCGACAAGGATGAGCCGTATTTTGAGAGCGCCAGCGAACATGGCCAAAATAGCGACTAAAGGGCGCTTTAAAAAAATTACCTTATATATTTATATTTCCACGTATTATGTTCTTTGTGTTCCTATTAAAGGCACACCAAATTCTATAATGTTTATAATCTCAGTTCTTAAAAATATATATATTTTTTTTGTAAGCAAGTGCAGGCTTGGATTGAGTTTTCTTTAATATAGAATGTACTCTGTGGTCTAGTAAATGCCACCCACTAGGCCGGACATATCTTATGACAAATTATAAGTCACACTGTGAGGGTACGTAATAATATTTATTTATAATTTTAAGACTAATCGGAGCTATTGCGGCGCTTTTTGTGCTTTTTCTCCTTGGAGCTCTTGCTGCGCTTGGTTTTTTCCTGCTTTATATTATTGGATTTACTAAATTCGGGCTCAGTTGGAACGGGTTTTGGTTTAGTTACAGGCTGCGGCGCACATCCTTCCATGTAAAGGCGCAGCGTCTCCTCGTCCAGCTTGTCGTTGTCCTTGGGAGGCTTGTAGTCTGCCACATGATCGACGCGCAGTGTGCGATCGATGATTTTGATGCCATTTAAATTGTCCACGGCCAGCACCGTGGAGCGCTGATCCTCGTAGCATAAGAAACAAAATCCTTTCGATTTGCCCGTTTTGCTGTCTCGCACCAGATTTATGTTTACAATTTCGCCATACTGGGAGAATACGCAGATGATGTCACCTTCGGAGAGCGTGTATGGAAAGCCGGCTATAAATATCCATGCAGAGTCACGGTACATATCATGCCAGCTCTTGGCACTGGGATTTTTAAGCTCGAGTTCGCTTAATTTAAGCACATTTCGCATATTCGTAAGCGGATTCATTTTATGTGGTTGAACTTTTGTTTACATATGCGATTTACTAGTGTGACCGCATGCGTTTAAAGCAAAATTCCTAATTTGGTATCGCGGGCAAGCCAAACAAAGCGAAGCAACGACTCTGTTGTACAATACTACTTTTAGGTATCGTTTGGTCTGCATTGGTCACACTGCGTTCAGTAGTACTTTTTAGTTCGTCGTCGTCGGTTCGGTGGTCGTTTGTGCGTGCGCCGCAATTTTTGTTGTCGCGTTTCCAATCAAAAACCCTGCAAATTTTTGCTAGTGAAAACTTCTTGAAATGTTGTAATATAATTACAATTACATGCAAGTGCTTCAATGTGCAATTAAGGTGTGTTTATTGTTTGGTAAATTTATTGAATAAGCGGTTGCCTGCTGTCCAGCAAAACTCGCATGTCTGCCTGTGTATGTGTGTGCGTATGTATGTGTGTGTGGCTGTGCGCTTGGCCGCTGTGCATGTGCATGTATGTGTGCGAGTGTGTGAAAAGCAAAAGAAAAAAGATATGCTGCGAACGAACAGCGGCCGCAGCAGAAGAAAAGTATCTCTTCTTCTATTTAAAAATGTGTGTCAGTGTATGTGTATTGTTAAGGCATAATAAATAATAGACGCTTGTTTCTGTTTCTCAAGCATTTCAAAACGCTGTCTTTTTTAATTGTGTTATTGTTTTATCGTTTTCCCATCAGCGCGAATTGTGTGTCAAATACGGCAAAAAAAAAAAAAAACAGTAGCTTACAGTTATTACAACAGTATTACAACAACGCCCCATTTTAAGGGGGGGTCAACATCTTTCGCCGCCTCCCGCATCTGCTGTGTGGTTTCGTCATACGTTATTGTCGCCTCTCGCTCTCACTCTTACTCTGTGTGTTTCCTATTCACACGCATGGATTGCCGCTCGCCTAATGTACGCATTTTTCCTTTTGCTTTTGTTTTTGTTGTTGCTGGTATGTAAAAGGGCAAATACATGTGTCTATAAGCATATGTGTGCGTATATTATTTTGTTGCTTCTACACTACATTTATGTCACCCTGCTGGTCACACTTACAACCAACACACTCACACCTGAGACAACTCCACCATATGCCTGCTGCCTGCTTGTCTGTCTGCCCCTCACTCTGCCCCTTTCTGTCTGTCTTTGTATCTGTTTAACACATTCCACCCCATTTCGCGCTGTAAATGCCGCCCGACTGCTTGCTCCTTCTCCTTTTGCCTGTTCATGCCACTTTTTGTTTTTGGTTTTTGCTTTTACTTGTTTTTCGAGGCTTTTGCTTAGGTGTGGCCGTACTTTAGTTGTGGGCTTCCTTTACACAACGGCGCGGAAGTGGTAATAAAAAAAATTACAAAAAATAAAGAGAAAAAAAAACAGTGTGTGCCCACGCCGTTGACATTGAACTCGCCAGCAATTCCAGTTGCGCCTATCGCTGTCTTCGTCTCCCCATCGCCTACGTCTGGAAGTGCGCCGCCTCTGCCGCTGCACTGTCAGTCGCGACGTTACTTTCCCAAAAATATAAAATTAAAAAAAGAAAAACAACAACAAAAATCCAACTCCTGTCGCAACGGCCTTTCATTTTTGGTCGCTATCGCAGCATTTACTTTTTTATACCCTACAAAGCAAATATGCATATGCAAAATATAACGGGTCTAGTGAACTAGGGATATTTTTGTTTTTAAATTACCCTTAAGGGAATTTTTATTTCTCATTTGATTTAACAAGATGCGAAGACTGCATTAATCACGTTTTCGTTGCTTCCAAAGCAACCCCTACCTTGCAAGATCTGTTTTAACCCTGAAGACTGTACATACATTTATTATTATATCGTAAGTAAACAGAAAAATCAGTTCAAGATCGTTTCTTTTGCGTTTATACTTTTACCTCAGATTCAGAACACAACTTTAACATATGCTATAATTTATTACTGTACTCAGACAAATTTGAATGTATAATCAACGTAGAGTACAATATTCGCATATGTAAAACAATTTTATATTTGCGCCCAAAGAGCATCTGTAGTTCGTCAATGTTACATTTTTGTTCCGCTGATTTCTAATTGTGCAGTCAAAGATTTTACTATTTACATGTATGTATATATATATATATATATATATACGTTTTTTTTTTGGGCAAGCTTTCTCATTGTGTTGTGTATGTGTATTAGTGTTATATGTTATATGCGATATAGCGTGTAACGAGTACTGTTATTATTATGTGCCTCACGTTTTAAAGCCAAAGATTCGCGCTGCGACTGCGCACGATTATGGCACATTTCTAGCTGCCAATGTGATGAAAACTGCCTCAGACCGAAACGTGTCAAGTTGCCAGATAACTACAGATGCAACGAATATACATATATGTATACATTTGATATATATGTATGCATGTGCATGTGCATATGTATGTGCCTGGCTCGTGTTTAGAGCATAACGTGCGCATAGAGTTCGATTAATTTCGTTGCGCCTCGGTAGCTGTGCACTCAACTCAAACATCCGCTCAAACACACACACACTCACACACACAGGCAGACACGGTCGTACACCTACACCCATTACACCTACTGTTATTGTTGTTGTCTTTTGTCTGGCATCGCTTCTTTTTTTAACCCTTGCCTTAAGCCACAACTGACCAACTGGCTGCTGCTGTTGGTAACATCTGTTTTCTTGTGGCTTATTAAACAGAAAACAACAACAGCGGCAACAAAAACTACAGTCAAAACAAGTAAGTGTAGCGAGCGCACGAGTGCACGACTAGCACATACCCAGCAATGATGGGGCTAAAGAAGTGTTGAGTAAAAACAAAATTTTACTTAATTGGTAATAGGAATTAATAAACAAATGTTATACCAATATATATATATATATATATATATATATATATACATACATATATATATATATATATATATATATTATACAATAAAACAACAAAAAATATGATATAAGATATAAAAAAAAATTATATATTATATTAAATTATTTTTAAAAATATAGTTATAAGTTATCCATTTTCTCAAATAGAGTTTGCAGAAATCAGATTTTCTTTTGGCAAATTATAATTATCTCTACAAACGACGCGTTTTTACTTACGAGCAATGATTTTATCGCTTTAATACTTGACAAACACTTTTTTTTTTAATATAATTAATCAATATCATCTATATAAGAGCCCGCATGCCATGTTTCATTAATTTAGCTCCTAAAATATAAACGTCTACTGAAAATCAAAATTTCGAATAATTCTTATAGTGAGGGTCTGCGACCTACAATATTAATTATCTGCTTATTTAGCTCGCTTTCATCTTCCGTTTATCCCAGCATACTTCCAATTGATGCCATTTACGGGGTATATGAGAAGCAAGTGCAAAAAATGATTTTACACCCGTTTTTTTGTCGCTCTTGTCTTGTTGCCATGTTTGTAGTTGCTGTTGTTGTTGCTGTTATTGTTGTTGTTGTTGTTGTTGTTGTTGCTGTTGTTGTTGTTGTTGTTGTTTTTGCTGTTTACACCTGTGCCTCGCATTTCGCTTTCGCATATTGTTTATTATTTACAGCATGTAAATTCTTGCTAGCCACGCCCCCATATTCTTAACATTTTCGAGGGCCACATACCAGCCAAACCCACACACACACACACACACGCACACACACACAAACGTCGTATGAAAACAGAAACTTGTGGCGCGCGGGTTTTTTATTTCATCTGCGTATCAAATAATTGAGCTCAATTGATTTTAATTGAAACTGACAACCGCTGCTTGTTGTTGTTTATATTTGCTGCTGCTGCTGTCTTGTTGTTGTTGTTGTTGTTGTAGTCGGCAGTCATATGAAACAAAAACCAACAACATAATGTTGATGTTGATGATGGATCCGATGATTATTGTATTTGACGAACTGCGCCTCAGAAGCTAAATGCAGCAATTTGAAGTAGTTGAGTAAAATTAGACAACATTTTCGAAAAAGAGTCAATGAACATCAAAAGTTCCCCAAAAACTAACTGAATGATGCCATTCGAACTATCTTTTGTACATAAATTTACCTTTGCAGAGTCTTCCATTTAAGACATGAGTTTTTAAGTAAATTTTTTGTGAATGCCTGCTCTTATTGATTCTGTTTATAAATAAATCTTCGCTTCAATATGTTAAATAAGTTCACAATTAACTCATGTATGTTTTTCCCAGTTTTAGATGACATTTCAATGTATGTATACCCCATATCAAGCTTATATTTTATACCATCATAAAAATGGTATAAATTTTGTACTATTATTAGATTTTTATACAACCTTATTAGGTAACCGTAAAATATCGCTTATTTAACATAAGATTCGCTTTTAAACTAGTTTCACAAATTTCGCTAGTGATCATTGATAAGAATTTCGAAACGCATTATCTATAGACTTTATACAATCACGTATTATTTAAATGTTTGTAAAACTATAAAGTCTACATATATGGCATACATTTATCAGCTTGTTTGATTTGTATGCTGACTAAGTACTTGCCTTTACATCTGTCTATAGCTATCTCTATATGTATATGTTGCCTGTTGAGCTACATTTTTGGCATTCAGTGCAGGTTTTCACCATGACTCATCCATGTGACACACAATCTAGCCTTTTTTCCGATAAAGAAATCACCTTTTATCTATAGATTTACATATGAATCACAGATATGGCTTTGATATTGAATACAGCATTAGATATGATAATATTTTCAATGTTAATTTAATAATTACACAAATGGGAATGTATAACAATGTTTTACTTGAAAGGGCTAAACAAATTGCATTTCATTATTTGTACACCTACAGTTTTAGTCAATTTTCAACCAGTTTAAAACCGGTTTTAGTTTTTTGCAGGTGCACAAGCTGATTTTCTTTTGGGAACATATCTTAAAACGTATCTGAAATAAGTTCTAGAACCCTTTCACACTATGAATGTGTATGTTTGTTTAACCTGTTCACAACGAGCAGAGCTCACAGATTTCCTTTCTTTTTAGGATCGTTTAGAGAAAAACCACTTCAAACCACTTTAGAGACTTAAAAAACAATCATCCCGTTTCACCAGTTATTCAACCTGTTCAAATCTTGATGTAAACAAGTCGCTTTGAAACTGATTTATAGCTTAGAAACAGGTTACTAGCTTAGAGATGTCCCTACGCACCCATGCCAAAGACTTAACACCCAATCTTATCTTATTCAACCTGTAAAGTTGTATTTTCTGTATTTTCTTGGTACAAAAGTCAACAGATCTATTTTTAGAAATTCCTGTATATAGTTCGCATTGATAGATATCTAAACATAGACCCCAAGAAATGCCACAAAAAAAAAAAAAACAAATAAAT